AAAGGGGAGGAAAAGGATGCTATGTTTTACATAGCAAAGGGCAGGAATGTTGACAACACAATGGCTGCAGTGAAGATGGTTTACAGAATACCCTCTTGTGCTTACTGCAGTTTGCAAAGTGATACAGTGCAAAGGAAAATCCCAGAAACTAACTCCTTTTTAAAATAGAAATTTAAATATACATACACTACACATAAATTCCAGCAGAAACTTCCTTCATGTAGAATTGCTCAGTGCTAGAGGACTCCAAAAGATGAGTGCATGATCTGTACAGTGGTTGCTGGGAATGGACAGAAGCGAAAACAGCTGGGATGTGGCTGTAGTCTCAGCTGTTACTTTGCACAATCTAAGCATAACGTATTGGAAAAGACAATATTGCTAGGAAGGGGGGGCAGTAGGGAGAGAGAGGACCCTGGCATGAAATGCTGTTGGTTTGCAAGATCTGAGCAGAGTTGTTAATGATAGGACAGTGTGTAAGTCAGTAACACATAGTCACCACACATCAGATGTAGCTTGATGGCCCATAGCATCTTTAGACTCTCCCCCCCCCTTAATTTCCAAATAATGGTATAGTGACAAGATGGGTGGAATAGGCACCAAAGCTCTGCTAATATTGAGAAAGACCATGCCCAGCCACAAACCAAAAAAACAGTGATTTCTCAGGTTAAATGAGAGCTTCTGAATATTTATTTTCTATTATTTTTAAAATATCTTTTAAAATATTTTTACAATGAAAAACAGAATCTCTTTGTAACAACCATTTGGCATGGAAGGAGTTTAAAAGTTCTCCTTCTGAAGTTATTTAATTTGGTCCTGACCGGTAGGATCAAAATTTTAGATTTCCCTTCTGGCTCACATAAAGCAACAATGTTTATAACTTTGTTTGAAATGTTGGAGATGGTAAGGCAGTCTATAAGAAAATCAAACTGTTTTTACTCCTTGAAAGGGTTTTTTCAGAGTCAGTCCTTCCTGCAGCCTGGATTTCTTTTAATTTTTTTTTAAAAAATTACTGGGACTAACAGTTTTCTTTCAAGATAAGCAAGACTATTCTTTTCAATTTATATGATCTGTTTTAAATCTGCAGGCAAAAAAGGTTACTGGTTTCTGCATCGAGGGAGAAAAGTTTTATTTATAAAAATCATAATTCATAAAGCATTTGCCCAAATATCCCCAAATTTGGCATAGAGCAAAAGCAGACTGCCTGCTACATATGTGGCAAATTTGTTGGCTAGCTGAAGCAGTTTCAAAGTTATAGGTTTTTTGGGGGGATGCCCCAATTTTTTTACTTGCATTATTGAATGCTGATTTGCTCTGTTGCACAGTATCTAGTACTGCACTTCTGTGCAGCAATATTTCCTTTAAATCAGCTATTGTTGGAGTGCAACTCTCATCAGTCCAAGTCATTGTGTCCAATGATGAGAGATTATTGCAGGAAGTCTAACAGTATCTGTAGGAATGTGGTTGTCCATCTCTGCTTGAAAGACACTGTTTGGTGTATTTAATTGATTCACATCAGTGATTTGTTTTTTTAAATAAAACAAGTGCATGAATACAGTATGGGGGGATCCACACACAGAGCATAGGGAATAAGATATTTAGTTCTCCTTCCCATCTGCTGACTCAGACTCCTCTCCCTCAGCGTAGCAAGCAATAGTAGCTGCAACCAGTGAAAGCTTTCTAAACAATACCAAAGATTTTTCTTATCTGTAGACTGAATTTAGTGGTGGTGGAATCAGAAGCTAAACCTACTTTTTTCTCTTTCCTTTTTTGCTTCATACCATTCTGTCTCAAGTCTTTTTAGCAGCCCACAATACTTGTCCACTCTCTAACTCCCTTTTCAAAACAGGACATCAAAGTACATCTGACAGATGGTTGTCTAATTCTCTCTTGAATGCTTCCAGCATTGGAGTGCTCACCACCTCTGGAGTTAATTATTTCCATTGTCATGCTGCTTCAACAGTTAGGAAGTTTTTCCTGGTATTCAACCAAAATCTGGCATTGTGTAATTTGAGCCCATCATTGTATGTCCTGCAGTCTGAGATGATTGAGAACAGATACTGCCCCTCCTCTGTATGACAATCTTTTAAATATTTGAAAAGTTCAGTCTTATCCATCTTCTTTTCTCAAAAATACCCAGTTCTTTTTCAGTATTTCCTCAAAGGGCTTTCCCGCTGATCATTTTTATTGCCTTTCTCTGAACTTGTTCCAGTCTGTTGTCATCATTTTAATATTGGCCATTTTTGTAGCCGCATCACACCACTGGCCCATATTCAACTTGTGATCTACAACAATTTCAAGGTTTTTCCTGCATGCAGTACTACAGTTACCATCTTTTAATTGTGTATTTTGCTTTTTTTTCCACCAGGTGTAGAACGTTGCACTTAATGCTGTTAAATTTCATTCTGTTGTTTTTCAGCCCAGTGCTCAAGCCTATCAAGATCTTTTTGAATTTTGTTTCTGTCTTCCAAAGTATTAGCAATTCCACCTAAATTGGTGTAATCCACTGTAATTCACTGCACTTCCTCATCCAAAATATTGAAGAGCATTCCCATGTGTCACCTTCTTCCAGTTTGAGAAGGAGCCATGGAATAAGATTCTGTAACCAACTGTGTATCCAACCGACAGTTGTTCTAACCATCCCACACCTAGTTATCTCACTAATCAGACTATCATTCGTCACTTTGTCAAAAGCTTTGCTGAAGTCAAGTTATATCTACAGCATTTCCTCTGTGTATCAGGGAGGTTACCCAATCAAAAAATGAGATAAGATTAGTTTGGCAGAATTTGTTCTCGACAAAATCATGTTGGCTTCTAGTTATTACTGTATTGTTTCTCTTTTCCATTTTTAAGCATTGTTCACTTTTCCATCTTTTTAGTACTTCATTGTGTTTACAGTGCTTACAGAATAACTACGTTATAATGTGTTCCAGAATTTTCCAAAGGATTGATGTCAGGCTGACCTGGTAGTTCCTTCGTTCCTTCTTTATGCAGACAGGGACAATGTTACCTCTCCTCCAGTTATCCAATACTACACCCATCCTCCATGATTTCAAGAACTGAATAGACTGTAATCTCTTCAGCCAGTTCCCTCAATATCCTTGAATGCAGTTCATCCAATTCTATGGATCTGAACTCTGTTCAGAAAAAAAATCTGTTTATTAATCTCAAACTGTAATCCTGTTCCCTCCCTTTGTACTTCTTATTTGTTTGGAGGAGTACAAACTGACTTTTGGTGGGAAGACTGAGCTGAAGTAGGAATTGAGCACCTCTACCTTTTTTGTCCTCTGTCATAAATTTCCCATCCCTCTTGAGTAGCTGAGTCACTGTTTTTATTCTCTTTATTTTCCTACACTCTGCAGAGTTGTGTATTTTTTGATTTTAGCATTTCTTGCTAACCTCAGCTAATTCTCAGTTTTTGCCTTCCTAATGCCATCCCTGTAATCCTTTTCTATTTGTCTGTACTCTACTTTTATAATCTGGCCTTCCTACTCTTTCCTGTATGTGTCCTTTTTTTGTTTTCAGATCTTCTCTGAACTTTTTGTTCACATTTGTCTTTTTTGCTGGTATTCCACCTTTTGTTCTTTTTTGGAATTATTTGTAGTATCTTTATAACTTCCTTTTTGAGAAACTCCCATGCATCTTTGACTCCTTCTCCTGTTAGGATCTCTTGCCGTTACCTATCATTACCTTACCTCATAGTCCAGCATATAAGTAAAGGTAGGCTTCAGCATTATGTGAACTGAGAACTCCCAGAAGTACAAGCTGGATTCCGAAGAGGCAGAGGAACTAGAGACCAAATTGCTAACTTGCTCTGGATTATGGAGAAAGCCAGAGAGTTCCAGAAGAACATCTACTTCTGCTTCATTGACTATGCAAAAGCCTTTGACTGCATGGACCACAGCAAACTATGGCAAGTCCTTAAAGAAATGGGAGTGCCTGACCACCTTACCTATCTCCTGAGAAACCTATATGTAGGACAGGAAGCAACAGTTAGAACTGGATATGGAAACACTGATTGGTTCAAAATTGAGAAAGGAGTATGACAAGGCTGTATATTGTCCCTCTGCTTATTTAACTTATATGCATAATGAATACATAATGCGAAAGGCCGGATTGGAAGAATCCCAAACCGGAATTAAGATTGCCGGAAGAAATATCAACAACCTCAGATATGCAGATGATACCACTCTGATGGCAGAAAGTGAGGAAGAATTAAGGAACCTTGTAATGAGGGTGAAAGAGGAGAGTCCAAAAAACTGTCTGAAACTCAACATAAAAAAAAAAAAAAACTAAGATCATGGCATCTGGTTCCCATCACTTCCTGGCAAATAGAAGGGGAAGATATGGAGGCAGTGACAGATTTCACTTTCTTGGGCTCCATGATCACTGCAGATGGTGACAGCAGCATCTTGCCAAGACGTTTTGGATTTTTAGTACTTTGCCCTGAAGATATGGGATTTAGCCACAAAAGCTTGCATATTGTAGGATAATTGGTCTCCCAATACTGCTATCCCATGTTTTTTTTAAGTCTTGTAATTTGTTTTTTTAAAGCTTTCATGTGCATCTTCTTTTTGATTGTGCAGTCAGTAGTAGAGGCCAACTACCACATTCTTTCTTGCCCCAATTATATTAATCCATATATGTGTGTGTGTGTGTGTGTGTGTGTGTGTGTGTGTGTGTGTGTGTGTGTGTGTGTGTGTGTGTGTGTGTGTGTGTGTGTGTGTGTGTGTGTGTAAAATATTTTATCCCACCTTTCTCCTCGAGAGGATACAAGGTGGCTTACAAAAAAAACTGGAAGGAGGAGAAAAACAGAAGCCTCCCCTTTTTGGCAACAGGTAACTGAGAAAACCTCTGCCTTAAGAGTACACAGGAGCAGAACTGTAGCCAGAGCCTTGGCGGGGCTTCTCCTCTTTTCCATAATGTTCCTAGCACTGCCATGAATATGGCAGGCTTCACACTTACATTTATAAACTGTATATGTATTTTTAAAATTTCTGCAGGAAGATCTGTCCATGCCGTTAATAGAGGAGGAGATTGATGGACTTTCAGGGCTCCTTTTTCCTTTCTATGATGCTGATACTCACATGTTGTACTTGGCTGGCAAGGTGTGTGAGCTCTGCTTTTTGTCACAGAATGCTTAACCATTGAAGTGTGGGTTGGATGTTCTGAAGTCTTCATAAACCGCTGTGATGGATTCATTCTCTCCTCTCTCTCTCTCTCTCTCTCTCTGTTGAACTGCTATATATCTGACTAGATATCACTCCTTTAGAACTAAAATGTATCAACTAGTTTCCTGAGAGTAATTGCAAAGGCAGCCATGAGATCAGATGATGTATTTCATCAAATTATTAATGTAATGCCAGATGTAAAAACTGAGGGCCTCAGTAGTCAAAAATCTGAAATCTAAGCATAGATACTTAAGAATTTTATTTATCTTAATAGGTTGTGTTTCCTATCTTGGTTTCTGGGACTTAGAGCCTGCTACAATAAAGGCAAGCCATGTCCCACCTCAAACAGAATAAGTTAGAATCAGCCAAGTAGATCATATGGTCATGGCCCAGTAAGTCAGATAATTAAATCAGGATGGGTCAAAGAAAGTCAGTTTGAGTGACTGGTGCTCAGGACTGTAGAGATGGGTCTATAGATCAATATTTGGATTGCTGTTGGTACAGTTTAGTTCAAACCTAATGGCATTGTCCACATGTGTTGTGACTTAAATCGATCTATTCTGCCCCTTTAAAAGCTGCCCTCATTCCTTTCTGGTACAGTGCTAGTGGCTTCTGGATTTTTTTGGTACAGTTTAGTGTTATCCTAATTATCCTGTAGTGTCACTTTCATTCATTCATTCATTCATTCATTCATTCATTCATTCATTCATTCATTCAATGTTTATACTGCCTATCTAGCAAATTGCTACTCTGGGTAGTGTACAACAAAAGTAAAAATCAAAAATAATAAAAACAAAATCTAAATACTGTACAGACATTTTTTAAAAAGACAAACAAAAGACAAGTGACAAGAAACATTTAAACAGTACAGAGAATCCCATATCTCTTCCACACATTCAATCAATTGAGAAGAATCTCCCCAAAGGCTTTCTTTAAAAGCTCTGCTTTAAGCTGTTTTTTAAAGGCACCTGTATGTTCTGAAGTCTTCATAAACTACTGGTGTAATTCTTGTAGCAGTGCATACCCCAGGGTAACTGCCACAGCTGAGAAGGCCTGGCTTCTTGTTTTTGTGTTCTGCCTCTTGAGGTGTTAAGGCACATCGTTTGTGACAACCTGGACAGATGTGCAGTTGAACGTGGCATAAGATATTCAGACATGTAACAAGGTCCCAAACCATTTAGGGCTCTGCATGTTAGAACCAACATACAAACCTGGAATCGAAACAGACTGGTAACTAAGGCAAGTTAGCCAGAATTGGGGTGAAATTATTATATTTTGTCACCACAGCAATCAAACTGGCTGCTGCTTTGGATCATTTGAACCTTCTGTATCACCCTCAAGGGAAGCTCCATGTAGAGTGCATTACAGCAATCAGTTTTGAGACTACCAATGCATGCATCCAAGTCCAGATAGGGGCGTAGCTGGGTAATATGCCAGAGTCGAACAAATGCAGCACATGTCATAGCAGAGACCTCTTTTCCATGGTCAGTGCTGGATATAAAATCACACCCAAACTACATGCCTGATACTTGAACAGAAGGATAAATCCATTAAGTCTGGGGGAAAATAGCCCCCCCCCCAAAAAAGGAAATAGACCCCTCAGCAACATGGTATCTGCCTTGTCTGGATTCATCCTCAGCCTGTTCCTCCTAGCCCAGTCCAGTACTGTGTCCAGGCATCCCTCTAGGTATTGGACAGCATCTGCTGCAGGTGATTTAAGGGAGGCATACAGCTGCATATTGATGACACAAATCACCAGATCTCCTGATGACCTCTCCCAGCAGCATTAAAATGCATTGGGGAGATGATTTATTGGCTATTTTGCACCCAAATGGAGCTGTGGGCACTGTTATCATCCTGTGATGTAATAACTGGATTGTAACATTAATAGGGATGATGGAG